CTCGCTCGATGGCGGCCTGCTGTACTACAGCACCGACTCTGAGGATAACCCTCGTGTAGTCGTTCCTCATTATGAGGATCTAAAGTATCGAATCCTCTATGAGGTTCATGATACGCCCGTGGGCGGGCACTTAGGTCGGGAGAAGACCTATGGCTCGGTGAGCTCGATGTACTGGTGGCCCAAAATGTATAAGTGGGTTGGCACCTATGTACGCACGTGTGAGACGTGTCAACGGACGAAGTCCGCGCCGAGCACGGCAGCGCCATTGGCGAGTTTGCCTGTCCCCAAGGGATGTTGGCAGTCCATGAGTATGGACTTTGTGTTTGGCCTTCCCAAGGACAAGGCAGGAAACACGGGTATTGTGGTCTTTGTAGACCGATTGAGCAAGATGGCTCATTTAGCGGCGGTGCCGGACACCATAGATGGTGAAGGTACAGCTTTGCTGTTTTTAGACCGAGTCTTTTGCCAACATGGCTTGCCTGAGGCAATTGTCTCGGATCGAGACCCGCGCTTCACCGCGAAGTTCTGGACGTCCCTCTTCAGAGTGCTTGGCACTCGTTTGGACATGTCCACAGCGGACCATCCGCAGACCGATGGTCAAACAGAACGCGTGAATCGCGTTGTGGAGGATATCCTCCGAAGCGTATGCGCTGAGGCGCCAAAACGCTGGAGCCAGATGCTCCCACTCGTTGAGTTCGCATTAAATAATGCAGTGCACGCCTCGACAGGCTACACTCCGTTCTATGTGGACGGCTTGGTTAACCCTCGCGTCCCACTGACGCCGCCACGCAGTGGCTCAGGGCTTGGTGGGGGAGGGATAGCCGAGCGGCTAGCTGATGCCAGCCCTGTTGCGGTTCGCAAGCAAGTCGATGACTTTGTCTCTTTGAGACTAAGCGTAATGCGTCAGGTACGCGACGCTATGGCTGAAAGCCAAGACATGCAAAAAGAACATGCAGATGCCAAAGGCAGACGCAATGAAGAAAGGTTTGAGGTCGGGGACCAAGTTTTATTAAATGCAAAAAACTTACCTACTCATGCAGTGTCTGCAGTCTTTAAGACAAAATTGAGACCACGGTTCATAGGACCGTTCAAGGTCGTGGCCAAGAAGGGCCTAGCGTATACGCTTAACCTTCCGAAGAAGATGCGCACGCATCCAGTCTTCTACGTTGGCTTACTCAAGCCGTATCAGGACATTGCTCAGGTGAGCGCGGAGGCGTTGGCGCCAACGGTGGCTGGGCCACGACAGGCTGCGCAGCAGCGGGAGGCCGAACCACGGCAGGCTGAGCGACAGCAGGTGGCGGGGCCACAAGACGCAACAGCAAGTCGATCTGACCTTGCAGCTGAGCGACTTGACGCTCAAGGTCCGCGACTCGGTTCTGAACCGACTGTGGTTGTTCAAACCAGTCCACGCGGTGGTTCGTCTCATCGAGACCATCTGCAAGGCGACTCAGAGAGTCAGTCGTATCATGGAGATACTGGTTCAGAAAACCCACACGCTGCTCCAGCGCGAACACGTCGCTGCGACTCGCGACGCGAGAGTCCAGCTGAGGCTCGGCCTCCTCCTGCTCTGCTCGACGAGCACGGCGAGCTCCACTTCCATGTGGAACGCCTGGTGGCGAGGCGCAGGCGCCAGGGTCGTACTCAGTACCTTGTGAAATGGAGGGGTTATCCTCACTCACAAAACTCTTGGGAGTTTGAGGTTGTCCTCCGGCAGGACTGCCCTGACGTCGTCGACGCTTTTGATCGGGCACACTCACTGCCCCGCCGCTACGGCGTACGACCGCGTCGTCAGGCGCCGAGCGCTTCCCGCCGCTAGAATGCGGGGATGACAGGTCGGTGGCTGAGCTCAAGCTCCGACCAGTGGCTGGAGCAGCCGGCTCATAGGAAAGAGCGGTGCTCGCAGCATGAGCAAGAGGTGGTGACGCCTCGAGGTGATGGGGACGGGGTCCCAGTGTTCGTCGACGTGCTTTCGACTTAGCGAAGTCTAAGCGCAAACGTCTCTCAAGACGAATATCAGTTTCAGAGAAACTTGCTCGAAGAGCATTGTAGGAGGGGAGCCGTCGAGCTCCCTCCACCCAGCTTCGGAATTGTGCTTCATAAGCACGCTGGGATTCCCCAGGGTTGAGAACAACCGGGATGGTTCGCATAGAGGGAACCGGTTGGCGGTTTAGCTGCATCTGCAGGCGCGCCTGATACTCCTGAGGAGTTGTGACTTGTGGAGTCAGAAATCGCTCTCGGAGCCGGTGCCGTTGCATTTGCTCATCAGCAGTCGAGGCCGCAGGCCCACACGTGTACGTGTTCAGCGGCTGCTGCGCCGCGAGGCGGGCCCGCTTCGGCAGGTTTCCGCGGCTGGAAGCCGTAGTCACGGGTGACGTTAGAACAAGTGGTCGGACCACAGGTCGGAACGACTGCGAGCGCTGCTCATTGGACAACTGACGGCCTTGGGCTCGTCCAGGTCATTCGTAATGACGTTGTGATCGTATCGATCTTCCTCGTCATACCGCGACGATAGCGGTGGCGCATCGCGCAGCGAGCGAATCGGATTCGAACGTTCAGAGAACGGATGCGGTGTCCGCAGGTCTCTTCTTGTTTGAGATTGCGCCGTTGAGCGGCTAGACCTCACAGAGGAAGCTGGGGAAGACGCGGCACCAGTGTGCGACCTCGGAGAGGTTGGGTTGGAGTGATCCTCACTACCCATGGGCTCGTCGTAATCGACTTCGCCCTCTTCGAGTTCCGAGAACAGAACATCGTTCCCTCTGGGCGGCGCCCGCGGCTCTGACGGGCTTTGAGCTTTGCTCTCTTCTTGTTGACGGCTCATGGAGCGTTGACCGTGGCGACGGCGATACTCTTGGTGGTACTGTGCCACCGAAAGAGACGAAGATGCTCTTGGAGCAGTTGCGGAGCGCAGTTGGGGGTCTGGGACCGACGAGGCAGGGGCGGCGCGACGCGCTGGAGACGTTGGGCCGTGGGCCGGAGTGGAAGTGCCAGGCATCAAGGATGCGAACGCGTTTGTGAGCTCGTGGAGCTGCAGAACGCAGAGGTGAAATCTAGTGACCTCCGTCGTCTTGACAAGACGTGACCTCGCTGAGGAAAGTTCGAGAACGGTATGTTCTCATCTTAGTGAGGGAGAGTGTAACGGGGTTACATGGTGTGGAACACACAGGGGTACGAAGTACCCGGAGAGTTAACAAACTCTCAGTACATAAGTTGGAGAGTTAACAAGGTCTCTCAGTACGTTGGCTGAAAGCCACACGTTATGCATTTGATTAGGTTTAACTATGCTAGATAGTTAAAGAGATACATTTACCCCTAGGCGGCTTGGCCGCAATAATAGTAAATAAAACACTTCTGGTTTTGAAGCATAAAAGTTAAGCTGTTAGCTTTGAGCCCTGGTCTTGGGCTGTAAGTGTCCTTTGGATAAGGAACTTAGTATTAGTGACTCTTTGAGTCGAACGTCTTCCTCTGACGCTAAAGCTACGGCAGCCCCGCTGCAGTGCTCACCGCAACGTTACTTCTGTTACGCTAGTAGCTACTACTAGAAAAATGCACATTGACGACCTGCCTGTGAAGATAGGAGCGGATCTGGGACTGGGGCCAGGACAGGCAGTTAGCTAATGTGACTTTGTGAATAATGTAAGGATGGCATCAGCGACGAGTGTCTCAGACGATCAAACGGTCAATTATTAAGCTTTATCTTGCTCTGCGTAGCTTGTCAGCGAGACGACTACCGCGCACCACGCTCATCGTGACTTCAATTACGTGGCCAAACTACAATGGGAAGACGTTTGACAGCGCGCACACCGTCATCGAAGTGGGCTATTTCTTGACTGCATGCGAAGGGTTTTCAAAACTTGCATGTAGGAATAGATGTAGCAACCCAGTCAACCAGAACTCCTTTATTTTTATAATGTTCTCTACAAATATCCATCTCAAACACACGCAACACTTTTTGCAGCGGGGCTGCCGTAGCTTTAGCGTCAGAGGAAGACGTTCGACTCAAAGAGTCACTGATACTAAGTTCCTTATCCAAAGGACACTTACAGCCCAAGACCAGGGCTCAAAGCTAACACCTTAGCTTTTATGCTTCAAAACCAGAAGTGTTTTATTTACTATTATTGCGGCCAAGCCGCCTAGGGGTAAATGTATCTGTTTAACTATCTAGCATAGTTAAACCTAATCAAATGCATAATGTGTGGCTTTCAGCCAACGTACTGAGAGACCTTGTTAACTCTCCAACTTATGTACTGAGAGTTTGTTAACTCTCCGGGTACTTCGTACCCCTGTGTGTTCCCCACCATGTAACCCCGTTACACTATTAACAACTCGAATTTTCTTCACAACTACCACTCCCTCCGCTGCTGCATCTACGTCGCGTTACCAGATTGTAGTCGTGGCATCCGTTCCCAATAATAGATAGCACAAGCTGGTCACAGACATAATTGGTACGGTGTACACACATTTGTGTTTGACACACCGGGGAAGTTTTCGTGGGTGACGCGAGCTACATCAGTCGGCATTGCCCAAGCGCTGGGGAGCTGGGCTTTTGACCCTTTCTATGTTTCAGCAATTCACCGTTTAGACCGTGAGCGGCCTGAATCAAGATATATTCCGAATGGGGTGGTTTAAGTGACTGCGCTGTTGCGCAGCCGTTTAGCACCCGAGAAACGAGCTGAGGGTATTACTATGCCAAATCATAGCGGCTCGTTAGATGATAGTTTGAGGCTGTTCCTTGTTCATGCGCACCTGTTTTTGAGGCCCAGGACATCGACTACTTGCACGAGATCAATACTCGTCGGGCTCTAGCTAGAATGGTTTTGAATATGCAAGGACAAGTATGTCACGCAACAAGTCAGTATCAACATCAGCGAGCTCGCTGACACGTTGCGCCGCGAAGTAATACCTGCCGATTTGCGAGAGCGTCTGCGCGAAGTACTGTTAGACTCCGCCAACGTGAGAGACGTGGTCTAGCCGATTACATTACCCGTTATCGAAAGGTAATTATGCACGGAAAAGGCATCAGTGAGACAGTCAAGATTGTCCCATTCACCCGGGGTTTGGTGTCACGATCGCGCGCAAAGGGCTACCGATGATGTTTAACCGCCCACGATGCAAGTTTGGATTTTACAGAGGATGAGCGAGCACACTCGCAGCCACAACAGCAGAGACCAAGCTGTTGGAAGTCATCGTGCCCGAGAACGAGGGTAGACAGGGTCGCACAGTGGTTATGAATCTGCACCAATGGGGGTTGGCCAAGGGTGATTCGTGTCGCGCCACGAGTGCTTAGAGCGCAATCTGTGTATTTTTACGCAAGAAGCCAGGACATCGTATGTCCAACTGTAGCAAGCGCAATCGGAATAGGCCTTCGGTAGACGGCTTGGATGAATCGCGCCCTCGACAGCGTGTATGCAACATGCATGAACCCAGCGAGCCGAAAGTATTTGACCGTCTGACCATCAGCGTGGTTGATTTGAGTCGTTTGGGGTGGCACCAGCTGCTGAAGAAGCAGGGCTGGTCGGCTGCCGTGGGTAGTGATTCTGCTTGATAGTGGTGCGGACCACAGCGTGATTTGCAAGGGGCTAAGCAGCAACGTGCTTCGCAAGAAATGTGCCGGAGCGGAACGTTTTGCCGCAGCAGTCGCCGGCTAATCTGATCAGGCCCGTTCTGTCGTTGTCACGAGAAGGCTAGGATATCATGTTTAAGTTTGCGATCTTCCAGTCTCTCAGCAACCCAAGCTAAGATAGAGCTGGGTAGGCAGGAAACGCATATAGTGGGAGGACTTGAGAGGCGTCATATAATTTGAAAGTGAGCTATTTTCGGGGTGGTAGTAGCAACGGAGGTGGCTTCAGGAGGAGCTGTCTCGAGTGGATATGCTGGTCTTTGAGCACGTCTTAGACTCTCTTTTCTCAAAGGCTTCACATTCCGTATTGCGCTTCCTTGGAGAATTGTGGCTTTTACTGAAGTGGCGACTGTCGCAAAACAGAATGGTTTTGCCCAATAGAATGCCTCAGCCATCATGAAACTGAGAGCCAAAGAGTTGGAGTTCACCTTGCAGGTTCTTAAAAGATGCGAAGCGACGGTAGAACTTATAAAACCGGTAATGCTAAGTCTAACCGAGTCTGTTTGAAACGAAGAATTGTCTTGGTGACGATAACTAGCTTCTTATCGGTACGTTCTCTTAAGGCTTGGGATGTACAGCTTTCATTCGAACAGCATCTTGTAGTACAGTAGCACGAAGGCAGTGCAACAAATCTAGAAACGCACCAGTGAATACATGAAGCACTGATGACTGGATGTATGTTGTCATGTAGGCTTCAACAAAAGGAAACACGTGGCACTGTAAACTGTCGGATAGCATCAGCGCAGCTCTCTTCATGAAATTAGTGTCTATCTGAACCTAACCCCGCCGATGACTCCATGGTTTCTCCCGGGCGATGCGGCAAGATATCAGCCGTCCATGGTACCTGCGCTCCATTTTTTAACCTGTGTATTTGGGACCAGCTAGGTCAGTCATTCTGCGAGCTGACTACTACAAAGTTTACCTTGTAGTAGGCCTGAAAGAAGACATACAGCAGGTGTAGCTGGCACTCCCTAAAGCTTCCGCTTAGTGTATTGCTTCTGGCTAAGCAAGCCCAAGACAAGCAGACTCGATTTCTGTACTACATGTATGCACACCAAGTATACTATGCATACGAAATCTGTAAACTCTGCCAGCTTGACCAGCAATACTGAGCTTCAGTCATCACTCGATGCTTGGCAGCAGCAGCCCTGCCACTGCCAATCAGGAGATCAGCACTGTCGACCACTGCAGTGGCGAGATGAGGCCGCATGCACCTAGCCCCCTACTGTCCCTCTTCTTAAAGGCTCATTCAGCCACATGGAATGATCTTGCTCTTGGTCTTGCACTCCAATGCCTGCGCACTCGTGCCTCCTGACACTGCCTTGCTCTCGACGTCCAGTGGCAGGCACACACACCGCCACCAACTCACGTCATTGTGCGCGATGTTTAAGTGCCAGGCACACTCGTGCCCTTCGACATCCACACAGCGCGGTCTTGGCGCGCGCCCCCAGACATGACCCCAGCATCCGGTATACTCGCTAGCTCCGTGCGTCTTCGCTTTCAAGTTGATACCGAATATAGATAAGGCTTAGCAATAGTCATTAAATCTGTCGGCTTGCAGTACTTTAGAGTCGTACCAGGGCTCGACACATGAAATTGGTACATTCTCAATTTGCACGCACCAGTGGTAAAACATGAAAAATCAGAATGCTTCAGCCGGTCAAACTTCTGTGTCACAGTGTCAGATACACGAAACCTAATCCCCACGGCCATACTAGCTCGCTTTTTTTTGCTCTAAAGTATCACAAGCGAAAGGCACTCTGTGGTAGCCTTCGTGCCCAAGAACCACGCCGAACAGGTCTATTGTGGAAGCAAACAACATGCAAGTGATACACATGCCCTTGGCATGAAGTCGGGGCCCGCTGCTGTCGTCCGTAATTTGCTGTCAGTGTTTAAAGCTAATGCTGAGCTACAAGGAATGAGACTTGTCGTTATTGACCAGTTCTACACATGGATTGTGCAGCGGGGCTGCCGTAGCTTTAGCGTCAGAGGAAGACGTTCGACTCAAAAAGTCACTAATACTAAGTTCCTTATCCAAAGGACACTTACAGCCCAAGACCAGGGCTCAAAGTTAACACCTTAGCTTTTATGCTTCAAAACCAGAAGTGTTTTATTTACTATTATTGCGGCCAAGCCGCCTAGGGGTAAATGTATCTGTTTAACTATCTAGCATAGTTAAATCTAATCAAATGCATAACGTGTGGCTTTCGGCCAACGTACTGAGAGACCTTGTTAACTCTCCAACTTATGTACTGAGAGTTTGTTAACTCTCCGGGTACTTCGTACCCCTGTGTGCTCCACACCATGTAACCCCGTTACACTCTCCCCCACTAAGATGAGAACATTCCGTTCTCGAAACTCTCCTCAGCGAGGTCACGTCTTGTTAAGACGGCGGAGGTTACTACACCTCACACCAGCGTTGTACAGCTCCGTGAGCTCACAAACGCCTACGCATCGTTGATGCCCAACTTCTCGTCGTCGGCTTACGGCCCAATGCTCCAAGCGCAGCGCGCATCTTGCTCTCAAGCGGTCTCAGACCTACGCTCGCGCTCCGCGCCTACTCCAAGAGCTGCAAACCGCTTAGAGCAATGCTCTTGACTCATTCGAGTCGTCGACAACAGCTCAGCGGTTGAACACTCGCTTCACAAGCGATAGGTCGGTGGTTCAAACCCACTGGTGCACAGCCCTCTCGTTCCATGAACGATTGCTCACGCTTGGACAAGCTTAAGGGCAACACCCTTTTAGCTCAATGGTTGAGCGTTGGCTTTGAGAGCCACAGGTCGGTGGTTCGAGCCCACCAGGGCACAGCCCTGTCGTTCCATGAACGATTGTTCACGCTTGGACAAGCTTAAGAGCAATCCGCTTTTAGCTCAGTGGTCGAGCGTTGGCTTTGAAAGCCACAGGTCGGTGGTTCGAACCCGCCAGGGCACAGCCCTCTCGTTCCATGAACTGTTGTCCTTGAATGGACAAGCTTAAGGGCAACGCCCTTTCAGCTCAGTGGTCGAGCGCTGGCTTTGAAAGCCACAGGTCGGTGGCTCAAATCCACCCGGGCGCAGCCCTCTCATACCATGAGTAGTCCGTTCTCGGACTGACGTACGGGCATCGCCCTTGTAGCTCAATGGTAGAGCTCCGGCCTGTCAAGCCAAAGACCAGTGGTTCGATCCCCGTGCGGGACACTACTTTCGCTGTTACAGCGCATCCACATTTGGATCATGCTCATCGAGCAAGTTGTTTCAAAACAACTATGCGTCTATCGAGACGCTTGTGCCTGAACCTTGTTCAGCACAACACGAAGCACCTGCTTCCTTCGGGACCATGTCCCTAACACTACGAGGTCTCTCCACCTCCTGCTCCCGCTGCGAGCACCGCTCATACGTACGAGCTGGCTGCTGCAGCCACTGGTCAGAGCCTGAGCTCAACTACTGACCTCATCGCTCCCCACTCTAGTGGGAGGCGCCCAGCGCCTGGCGACGCTGTCGCACGCCATGGTGGCGCTTCGGCACATGATGTGCCCGGTCGTAAGCGTCAACGACGTCAGGGAAATCTTGCCGGAGGATAACCTCAAACTCCCATGAGTTCTGTGAGTGAGGGTAACCCCTCCACTTCACTAAGTACTAAGTACGACCCTGGCGTCTACGCCACGCCACAAGGCGCTCCACGTGAAAGTGGAGCTCACCATGCTCATCGAGCAGAGCAGGAGGAAGCCTTGCCTCAGCTCGGCTCTCAAGGGGAGAGTCAGCACTTGCCGGAGCGGCGTCTGCGTCCATACGACGCCGGCGTCCACGACGCGAACGTTCACGTTCACCGGCCATCGGTCGATCTCGATGAGATGATCTACCTTGTGGATAGGTTAGAGCCACCACTGTTGACTCACAACCAGGTCTCGGACCTTGAGCGTCCAGCTGCTCGGCTGAACGTTCAGCTTGCCTTGCTCCTGCATCTCGAGCACTTCGCTCCGCGACCTGTGGCTCTGCCACATGCTGTTGATCAGCCATCTGTGGATCCACCACTTGCTGTCGTTCAGCCTCCCGTGGCTCTACCACCTGCTGCCCTGCAGCTGTCCGTGGCCCAGCCATCGTTGGTGCCAACGCCTCCGCGCTCACCTGAGCAGGGTCTTGGTATGGCTTAAGCAAGCCGACATAGAAGACCGGATGCGTGCGCATCTTCTTCGGAAGGTTGAGCGTATACGCTAGGCCCTTCCTGGCCACGACCTTGAACGGTCCTATGAACCGAGGTCTTAACTTCGTTTTGAAGACTGCAGACACTGCATGAGTAGGTAGGTTTTTAGCGTTTAATAAAACTTGGTCACCGACCTCAAACCTCTCAACATTGCTTCTGCCCTTGGCATCTGCATGTTCCTTTTGCGTGTCTTGGCTTTCAGCCATAGCGTCGCGTACTTGACGCATTACGCTCAGTCTCAAAGAGACAAAGTCATCGACTTGCTTGCGAACCGCAACAGGGCTGACATCAGCTAGCCGCTCGGCTATCCCTCCCCCACCAAGCCCTGAGCCACTGCGTGGCGGCGTCAGTGGGACGCGAGGGTTAACCAAGCCGTTCACATAGAACGGAGTGTAGCCTGTCGAGGCGTGCACTGCATTATTTAATGCGAACTCAACGAGTGGGAGCATCTGGCTCCAGCGTTTTGGCGCCTCAGCGCATACGCTTCGGAGGGTATCCTCCACAACGCGATTCACGCGTTCGGTTTGACCATCGGTCTGCGGATGGTCCGCTGTGGACATGTCCAAACGAGTGCCGAGCACTCTGAAGAGGGACGTCCAGAACTTCGCGGTGAAGCGCGGATCTCGATCCAAGACAATTGCCTCAGGCAAGCCATGTTGGCGAAAGACTCGGTCTAAAAACAGCAAAGCTGTACCTTCACCATCAATGGTGTCCGGCACTGCCGCTAAATGAGCTATCTTGCTCAATCGGTCTACAAAGACCACTAAACCTGTGTTTCCCGCCTTATCCTTGGGAAGGCCAAACACAAAGTCCATACTCATGGACTGCCAGCATCCCTTGGGGGCAGGC